GCCTAAGAAATCCTCATCGATCCAGTAAGGTCTTAGAACTTGTAGCATGGTCTTTGAGTTGGGTTTTATGAACTAGCTTCAAAATTTTTATCATAGAACTTGTCTGTGTAAGTATCCAATAGGAGTAGGATCTTAAATCATTTGAAGCAATCTATTTATGGCAGTATCAGATGCAGAGTAGCTTCTGAATATATAATATAATTAAGTAAAATTTCCTCATTCCTTAAGCAATTGAAATGAATAGGATTCTTCTCCCCTGCTTTTGAATTTTGTGTTGTAAAAGATAACTTTTTGTAATCTATTACCTTAGTGATAATTTGATTTTTTCTGTTTCTCTGGTATCAGTTACAACTGTGCTATTTCAGTTATGTTGTCCTTTGTTACTGCAAAAACTAAACTTTGATTAATATTGATTAACTTTACAGCCTTGTGAAATGTGGTGTTTAGCTATTTGAATTGATCATATAAAGAAATAATCAGAGTAATGATGAAGTTTTACTTGGTTTTATGTTGTTTTCTAGGGATTCTTATGCACTTAGGATGAGCAAGCTCTTGCTGGATGTCTGCAATATTGTTTTGGATGGCAGCATCTTGAATATTAAAGATTTTGATCATAAGAGAGTTCTATGAAGGGGAAGCTTTGCCACAATTGTTGGAAAACTTGTTCACTATTGGAAGCGTAGATTTCTAATCAAAATCTGAAATATTTTCCTTCTACTGAAGCCATGCAATGCCAAGAGGTGCTGAATGATTAGAAGTTTGAAGTTTCTCAGATTCCATTATCCACGTAGAATGAGTGCATCCAATTCCAAGAATATTGAGCTTCTCAGGTATATTTTCTAAACCTCAACTCCTCTTCTTCCTTAAAAACTTTCCAATCACTGAACCTGTCTTCACCCTATCATTAAGCATTTGTATCTTTTTATCAATTCTAACTCTTAAGTAGCACCAGAAATTAAATTTGTTAATCCATAAGGTAAACCGAGCATGTTCTAATTGTTTGCAGCGGAGACTGTGCGGTACATGAGGGATTCTTTTAGGTATCCTCTTTTGTGTTTTCCCAAAAAGGTAAAATTCATGTTTCATAAATGAAATTAACAAGTGACTGTGTAATAAAATTTTATTTCATTAATTCATTTTTTCTAAGACTATTTGCAGGTTATGTTGGTATGGAGTTATCATGTACTTTGGATTTGAGCATTTGAAGAACCTTAGGTGGTATTTGATTTATACCATGGAGAAGTAGCAGGGAGAAGGGAGGAAAGCTTCTTGACAATGCAAAATGTTATTCAAGTACGCCTTCTAGATCATTTATGAGTCTTATCTAAGTGTTATTTGCTTATTTCTTACCATTTGAGCATGTATAGTCTATGCAACTGAGTAGGATCATATGCTAAAGTAATTTGCTTGAGAATTTTGATATAAAGAATACTTGTAGGTGTTCATGATGAGTATCACATTCCTTGTGCCATATGGTCTTTTGTACATAAAGAGAAGCGCGAATGCAGCTTAGCTTATGGACTCTCTGATTATGGAGAGTTTTATAAATTGGAAGCTTTGGCATGGTTGTGAACTTGGTCTCTATTCTGATATTCGATTTCTGTCCATAATTTGAAATATTTGCCTTCTCCCGGAGCCATCTAATGTCAATAGGTACTGTTTGATTCAAAGTTCCTCACATTCCAATATCCAAATAGACTGAGTGCATCCAATTCTAAGAAGACTGAGCTTCTCATGTATATTTTCTTAAAACTCAACTTCTTTAGAAACTTCCCATCCATCTCTAAGTTTATCTTCCCCATCACTATATCAGTAAGCATTTGTATCTTTTTAGCAATTCAAATTTCAAAACAACACCTGAAATCAAATTTATCAATCTCTATGGTAATCCCTGGTTGTTCCAATTTTTTGCAATGCAATACATGAGGAATACTTTTAGGTAATCTTTTTCTGTTTTCTGAAAATGTTAAACTCATGTTTCATAAAAGATGTCAACAATTGACTATAGAACAATTTTTATTCCATTCTCTTTTTCTATACCAGGTTAATGTGAGAATGATCCAATGTTCCAAACATGGATCCATTGATTTCTCATATTTAGAGATTATTCCAGGTTAGCAGCGTTTGAAATTACCAGCACATTGAATCTATTTCATTCTTCATTTTTCGTTATCATACTCTCTCTCATCCTATCTCCATTTTATCAATTTTGCAGAACTTGGCCTTAAAACTCAGTGTGACTCTGTAAATTGAAGCAGAAGATGGAATAACATCATATATGACTTCAAGGGTCGATTCTTTGGAACTCATCAATTTCTCAAAAATTAGCCATCAACTGCCTCTCCATAAATATTGGTGACTCTTGTTACTTTTCTTTAATCTATGCCGTTTTTTTATGAGTCATGTTAGTTATTTGGAAACTTTGATTTGGAGTTAGTAAAGAGTATTAAGATTTTACATTAGCTTTTGGAATTTAGAATTTGATAATTTACACATAAAAGACAATAAATACCACTGAGCTTGAGGTCTCCTAATTAAGTGCTTCTACTTTCATACTTGGGACTATATTAAATCCATCATCAATTTCCTGTTCTTAAATATCATTTTTCATCTTATATTTAATTTCCACTGTAACTTTGCATGATGAGTACCTCTGGTATTATTTTTTCCATTAATATCTCTCTTTAATTTTGTAGTGCACGCATGGAACCAGAAGCAGTAATAGATTCACACCATGAAGCAGTAGCATGGGGAAGGAAAGGAAACCTCTTGACAAGCAAAAAGTATTCAAGTATGCATTCTAGATCGTTTTAAAGTTTTAAAAGTCCTAGTTAAGCATTATGTCTCTGAATTTGAACATATATAGTCTTTCACAATTGGGTAGGTTCATATACTTTATTTGCTTGAAAATTAGCTTTGATAATAAAGCATACTTGTAGGTGTTAGTATTCCATTCCTTAAACAACATCGTCTTTCAGAAGTAAGCTAAGGAGAATAGCAGATGCAGAGTAGCTTATCAAATTTGATGAAGGTTTATTTGTGTACAATTAATTCTGAGCTTAAAATTTGTCCAGAATAAATTTCCTTTTTTTAATTCCTCTATTTGTTCCTTCTACATTTTCTGGGAAAGTTCATTGTTATAGTCTGTTGTCATCTCCACTGATTTTTTGGGTTTTCTATTTCATCAACACCAGCTACATTTGTATAGATTTCAGCTGTCAGTGGATTGTTCCTTGCTTGAGTATCACAGCTTCATTTCCAATTATCGCAAACCACTTTCTTTCTAAAAGAGAGTTCAAGGTATGTCACAACAAAAGCTTAACTTTAATTAATTATATATAAACAATATATCATACAATGATGAGTGCATTCTTGTTTATGAAAAATAATTCTAATCACTCCCTGTGCACTTAGGATGAGCAAACGTGTGCTGGAGGCTTGCATGATATTTGTTTTGGATGGTACCGTCTTCACTAGTAGGTAGGTAAACTTAGAAAGCTTTATTTACATAGTAGTTTCTATTAAGCTCAACAAGGAAGTTCAATCATTGTAATGCAATTATACGGTTTTACCAATTACTTTGCATTGGTATTGCAGGAGTCTCAACTCATCTAATACAACAAGGAATGATTATGTTTCTCTCTGCACTTTGATTACGCTCTATAGACTTACAACATGACGATGGAAGCTATATTTCAATCTCTTTGAAGATTCCTAAGGTTTATGAGAATGCCAATCACATTCACTAATGCTGTATGTTTCAACATTTTGGCTGTGACCCTGATGGCAGTAGAATTATATTGGCGTTGTGGGCGGCAATAGGAGGACCATTAGAACTTTATTTTATATGTAACCTATCCACTTACCCTTGTAGGTTGAGTTTTGATATAAGATTTGTTAAACAGGGGGAGCTTCATTAGAAGATGGGGTGAAAAGAAGAATTCTCAGATGCTTGCTTGTACTTGATCTTCACGTAGTGAAATATTTTCCAAAGCTCAGTCAGTGCATAAAATTGTTTGTTTGTTCTTCTTTGATTATCTCTTTCTCGTATCTAATTGCCATGTCCTGCCCCATATCTTAAACACAATCAGTAATGCTGGACTCTTACATCAACAACTCGAGTTTTGTCCTCAACAAGAAGACCAGTTTTGGATGTTTTTAGTTTATGTCCAATAAGAGATGCTGCTGCTTGTAATGCGTTTTGATGCGCAAGGCCTTTCAGTAATCATATTATATACTTCTTCTTGCCAGGAGATAAGAAAAAACATGAGAACTCAAAAATGTAATTAAAAAGGAAACTAATTGATATACATTCAATTCAATAAACTTTCTGACATTTATCTAGTTTAATTATCAAAATATAATATAAGTACAATTTGATTCAGTTTGTTCTTTTATTTTATATACATAGTCACATATTTAAGTTTGTTTTTTTTTTTTTAAATAAGAAAATAATATTTTTTTAATGAATATACAGTAAAATGTGTTAAATTGAAATATATTAAATTAAAATATGTACTAATTAATATTCAATTAGAAAAGGCATAAGCCTTGATAGGCTGGCTGTTACAAGGCTATACCTTTAATTTGAAACTCAACCATTTAATAAGAGTTTCGGTAAGTCATGCTAATTTTCTCTTAGCTGTTTTACAAATATAAAATTTAGTTTTGATTGCAAGAATGGTTACCAAGCGCTTTGGATTCAAGCTTTTGAAATTATCAAGCGCTTTGGATCCAGTTTCTTGCAGGAAGGCTAACTTCCCCTGTTTATCAGCCTTATACATCATTTTTGCATTTTTTACGTTTTTTACATTTTTCATGGTAAGTAGCTCTTGTTCCCTTGTTTTTTTTCTTCTTTTTTTTTTTTCAAAACATTTCTTTGGCTTTTGTTTGTGGAAAAAAAAAAAGAATTTTCTTATACTTTAGCTATTTTTTATAAACTAAACCTCATTATTGCTTCGCGCAATTCATCTGTATATGAATCTGATTAGGTATTTACTAATTATAAATTTTTATATTAATTTTTTTAGAAGCATAAATTTTTATATTAATAATTAATTAAAAGTATAGAAAGTGTTTTTAAGTTAATTTACATGAAAAAATGTAAAAATGTTTATGAAATTATTTTAAATGCTTTTAATAAATTTTCTCTCTGTTTTGATTTATTAAGATTATTTAATTAATTTAATAAATAGTCTTACACTTTTTTGCAAGAAAACCTAAAAATTTGCAGCCTCCTAAAATTATATATTAAATTATTCTTTTAGATAATTACTAATTTTAAATTTAATAATTCATTAAAAAAAAA